GGGTATTCATATTTGTATACGAATATCCCTGCACAGCTGGACTTAATGAGGGGCTGGCCCCTGCGGCTGGCCCCACTCACACATCCAGTGGCGACAGCAGCCTCGCTCATCCTTCCAATTGCTCCCAGAGCTCCACTCTCTCCCTGCTCTCCTGGCCACTCCAGGCAGTGGGAAGGATGACAAATCTTCCCTGCATGGCTGCTGAGTTGCTAGCTGAGCAGGAAAAGAGCTCCGGGAGTGATTGGAAGGATGAGTGAGGCTGTTATCGCCACTGGATGCTTGAGTGGATGAGTCGGCCACAGGGGTTGGCCCCTTGTTAAGTCCAGCTGTGCGGGGATAATTGTATATGAATACCCCCATCTCTATAGGTGATGTTTCTATGCAGTAATACTTGTATTTTATAGGGTTCATAGCTCCTCTCAACTAAGAATATATTTTGATTTAAAAAAAATGGCTGCAATTCTGTTTGTCTAGCTATTCCAATAGAAGAGTAATGATGGCACCAGCAAGGGGAGATTGATAATGAAAGCCTTCAGCTTTCTCTTCCATAGTTTTTATGACTTGCATATAATCCCGGACATTGCATGGGAGCTATATAACAGTCTTTCATTATCAGAAATTTCACTTTGCTGGTAATGTAATCCAGTGATGCTGACTTTTGGTCACAAAAGACTTCTTGTCTCTCCACTCCCATGGCTTTTATGTGATGAAACAGATCATCTGCAAGTCATAAGTGTTTTGTTTCCCCAAACTCCCTCTTTTGGTGACATAATCACTTTTCTGTAGATATACCAATGCTGATAAGACGTCAGCTCGTGGCGCAGTGGTTAAACTGCTGTACTGCAGCTAAAACTGTGCTCACGACCTGGGGTTCAAATCCCAAGTAGCCGGCTCAAGGTTGACTCAGCCTTCCATCCTTCCGAGGTCGGTAAAATGAGTACCCAGCTTGCTGGGGGGGGCAATGTGTAGCCTGTATAATTAAAATTGTAAACTGTCCGGAGAGTGCTTGTAGCGCTATGGGGCAGTATATAAATCCAATAAATAAATAAATAAATAAATTAGTTCCAATCTAGTTCTTAAGATATCCTTTCCATCTGATAGCAACAAAGTTATGCTTGTATCTCTGTGCTTCTTGTAGAAATGAATGATTGAAAGCCCTAGCATTGTTTTTGAAATGTTTAAAGTTAAATTATTTTTGTTGCAACAGTCTGTACTTTGTAATTCACTCCTATAAACATTTAAAATATTTTAATTAGTATGTATAAAAGTTAGAGCGCTCTTTAAAAGTGTATAATAGGATTTCTTCATATTTGCCATTCCATATTAATACAGTCTTGGTTCATTTTGCTTCTGTACTAAATCCCTAGGTATCACATACACTTTTTACATTTAAGCTGAAGACATCTGCCTCCTTGAACTTGATGGAACTTACTTCTGAGTAAATATGTGTCTGTCTGTTGTTGAACACTTTCTATTAGTGGATGATAATGTTGGTTTGTTTAACTTTTTGCTGATTTCCCTCTCCTCTGCCAAGTCATCCTCTTCTGCTAAATTGTCTTGCTTCAGAGCTGTTAAGGTCTAATAATTCTGCATGCCAGTACTTGAGACAGGATGTTGGATGAAGAAGGACTGCACCAAATAACATTACCCTTGGGAGTTATTTGCTGGGATGGTTTTGCTCAGGCATGTCTTCATGCATATTTTGGTTAAAAAAGAATGTTCCCCCAGGTCAGTTTTGTTGCTTTGCCAGTGTAGTAAATGTCTTACTACTGAGACTTGGTTTAAAAGTACCTTTCTGTATCAGCATGCTGTATTTCTAAAATGGCACAGTGGGCCATGAAGTTACTGCATTTTTCAATTTATGAGAGACCCCATTTATAAGATCCCCCCTCCCACTTTTCTAACCCCAAATTAAGAAAACTTAGCTTTGAGTATTCACCCTCTGCACTCAGAATGCTTGGACATTACAAGTCCCTGTTGAATCTGAGCCTACAGGCTCCACCTCCAACAAGATGTGTTCCAGTTGGTTTGTTCAGCATCAGCTGACATCAGTTCCATAAGGCTCATGATTGGAGGAAGCTAAGTCTCCTAACTGTAGGAATTTAAGCCTTGTGATTGAAAGAAGCCTGTTTACAGAGGCAAGGTACGGGCAGTTTTGTTCTCTCCTCAGCTTACTTCTGTGTATAAGACTCCCCTCAATTTTTAGTGTAATAATTTTAGGGAAAAGTAGCATCTTGTACACGGAAAAATATGGTACTTATTTAGAACATAAGGATGCATTTAGGTAATTTTTTTGTCTGTTGCAGTGGACTGTCATCTTGATGAAATAAATATTTTTTATTGGAGAGTATTTTTACCTCATAAGTACAGTATCTGAAAAATTCATTTACCCATAAAAAGCTAAAATGTGTTTTTAAGTGTTTTCTTATATGAATAATTAAAATATTTAAGAGCATAAGAAACTTCTTTATTCTGAGTGAGACCATCTAGCTATGTAGTCCAGCATGGCAAACTTTTACAGCAGTGGCTATCTAATGTTTGAAGAAGGATTCTTTCCATGGCTCTATTTGGAGATTCTGTGCTATTCACTTCTGGACTCCCAGCCAAATACTAACCATGCCCAGCCTTGCTTAACTTACAAAATCAGATGAGCTTGCTGTGTTTGGTGTGGTATGGTGGTATTATTTTACCATCTGATCCTGTATCTTTATGATATTGCAGGTTCAGAGTTGTAAGTCCTATTGTATGTTGTATCTCTTATGTATGTTCATTAAAATATTTTGCAAATCAGCTAAAATAATTCAAAAGTATGTATTTTATTAGGTTTTTCAAAAAATATTAAGTAGCTAGTATTTTTTTCTAGCAGTTTATTTTTATGAACTCTAAAACGAGTAGAGGCAATTGGCAGTTTTACAGTTGAGTAAGTGGCTACCCTGTTTTAGAGGGTGAATAACAAATGACTGCACACATGTGGCATCTAGCCTTGCAAAGTACACATTTCAGTGGTTGGAGGCCTCTGCAATGGTAAATACAAAGTAAATCTTCATGCTGATACAGAGATCTTTGTTTTTAAATTTTGCTTGTGTGTTCTGCCACCAGGTCAAACAGTTGAAAGACACCTATTACTGATTCCATCTGACGTGGCAAAAAAACCATGTGATTGACTGTCTCCTGCCTGGTGGGGCCTTGCAAGCTATCTTCATAATTGCAATAACCCACTGCTAAGAAGATTAGTGGTTTTTATGTATTTTAAGATGTATTTTAATTTATATCTTTATAATTCTGTTATAGTCTCCTTTCCCAAGTTTTTTCGGATTCATTGGTAAATATTTCTTCCAGAACATTCAGAATGTGGATGAGATGGATCACTAGCATGGAGGAATAGCTAGATACCTTTTAAGGGCCTGAAAAATCCATTTAGTTTTTAAAAATATGTGGCAATCAGGAGCATGTACTCTTTATGGAGGCTGTGATATTGTCTGAAATTCATATAAGATTTTTACGTTCTCTGATCAACTCTAAAGATTAGAAGGAATGTCTGAGCCTGTCATGTTTATCAGAGGGCAGATGCATGATCAACATGGTAAGGACAAATGTGGATAATTGGTGATGGTAAATGTTGCTTGATGAGGCATGTGCCTAATTTGTGAGTGTTCTTCAGTATTTAGGGCACAGGGTGGCCTGGATAGTCAGGGAAACTGGAATTGGTCAGGAAATCAGAGAAATTGGTGAAATGTCAGAGAAACTGTGATGTCAATATGCTCATCTATTGGATTTTTGACATGCTGCTTCAATAGGATGATTTTTTTCCTGTGGAAGTGGATTTAGAAAAGTAGCATGTTGTTGTTGTTTAGTCGTTAAGTCGTGCCCGACTCTTTGTGACCCCATGGACCAGACCACACTTCTATCTTCCACTGCCTTTGGTCAAATTCCTGTTGGTAGCTTCAATGACACTGTCCAACCATCTCGCCCTCTGTTGTCCCTTTCTCCACTTGCCTTCACTCTTTCCCAACATCAGGGTCTTTTCCAGGGAGATTTCTCTTCTCATGAGATGGCCAAAGTATTGGCGTCTCAGCTTCAGGACCTGTCCTTCCAGTGAGCACTCAGGGTTGATTTCCTTCAGAATGGATAGGATTGATCTCCTTGCAGTCCAAGGGACTCTCAGGAGTCTCCTCCAGCACCACAATTCAAAAGCATAAATTCCTCGGTGGTCATCCTTCTTTATGGTCCAGCTCTCACTTCCATACATCACTACTGGAAAAACCATAGCTTTGACTATGCGGACCTTTGTCAGCAAGGTGATGGCTCTGCTTTTTAAGATGCTGTCTAGGTTTGTCATCATTTTCCTCCCAAGAAGCAGGTGTCTTTTAATGTTGTAGCTTATTAGAAGTACAAATTAATGGTACCTCTTCTCTGGCCTAGTGGGACGTGGTGGCATTGCGGGTTAAACCGCAGAAGCCTCTGTGCTGCAAGGTCAGAAAACCAGCCGTCGTAAGATCAAATCCACACGACGGAGTGAGCTCCCGTCGCTTGTCCCAGCTCCTGCCAACCTAGCAGTTTGAAGGCATGTAAATGTGAGTAGATAAATAGGGACCACTTCAGTGGGAAGGTAACAACGTTCTGTGTCTAGTCACGCTGGCCATGTGACCACGGAAACTGTCTACGGACTAACGCTGGCTCTATGGCTTGGAGACGGGGATGAGCACCGCTCTCTAGAGTCGGGCATGACTGGACTAAATGTCAAGGGGAACCTTTACCTTTACCTTCTCTGGCCTTTCCCAGCTCCATCTGTCTTTTAACTAGCTGTGTCTCTATGTGATTTGCAAGTCAACTGGTAGCTTTTTCTAAGCAAGGCTAGTTTAAACATTTGGAGCAACATACATTTTACTTACCTACAAAGCTAAACATGTGTTGAGGTCATGCTTGTTTATGGAAAAGAGGATTTGTCTTGCCGTTTCCATTCATAAGGTTTGTAAATGAAGGTTATCTGCTTATCCTAGATGTCGGAGATCATCTGCAACCATTTAAACTCCACCTCCTTCACTACTGCTGATCTGCTCATTTCACTTTCTGAAACACAGAAAGTTAGTCCCAGGTTTGGAAAATTCCTTCTTAGCAAATGCACAAATCTATTGTATTCTGATGTCAAGCAAGTGTTCCTGTCCAAGACTGTATCTGAAACTGTTTTGAAGATGGTATTTAAGAGGACAGTTTTTAATATTTTGTGGGTTCCCAGGTCGCCTTCAGGCAGGAGGCATCAAAGGTCTTAGGGGTGTCATCATGAAAGTATGGTAGACTGGACTATGCTGCCAAAACATCTATCTTCAGTGTGTAACTATGCACAGATGTCCTACTTGGACCTCCCTTTCAGACCTTCATCCTCATGAAGTGTCTGATGTACAGGCAGGGTAGTTCCCTTCACCACCTGGTCCTTAGAGTGTTAACAGTCCATGGGCTGGTGCTGGTCCAGTGTAGCCCTTCACATATCCTTTTTCTCAGCCTCTTTCATCTGTAGAGTCTTCTCTTGCTCGAAGAGTCAACTAGAGAAGAACTTACAGGTGCAAGAGGCACACATACAGTTGTAAGAGTGACAGACAAAAATATTTGAGCAAGGAAGTCTGATTGGAACATCAGGAGGGTCTAACAAAATAGTAACGATTGCACATACTTTAACACAGGAGTCCCCAATTTTTTTCACCCCGCGAACCGGCTGGGGAAGGTGGGGCACCCCCCCGTGCTCGTGCACATGCGCAAACAAGCGCATGTGCGCTCATGCACAAACAAGTATGCATTCATGCACATGCAGAAACAGCAGTGCGGTGCTTGTGTGGACACGTGCATGCTCGTGTGTAGGCGCAAATGGCGGCACAGTGCTCGCACGGGCATGCTGGAACACGTGCAAATCAGCTGTGCGGGGGTGAGTGTGGGCGGGAGGTCTGTCTCCGCGGCCTGGTCTGGCTCAGGCCACAGACTGGCACCGGGCCGTGGACCAGGGGTTGGGGACCTCTGCTTTAACATACGTTTATGCTCTACATTAGAGATTGATAATAGTAAATTAAGCAAAGTCCAATATTGCCAGTTGAGGTAGAGCTTTTAAGTTTGCTAGGTAAAGTTTCTTTTTTTAAAAGAAGCCGTAGAGCTTTTTTTTTCTCCTTATCTTGAATTGTCTGTAGGGTTGGTGACAAGAATAGCATCTGAATCAGTTGTCATAGTAACATTGGCCGTTAGCTAGAGAGATGCTTTACCGCTACTGTATTTGGATATCCTGTTACTCCAATTTTGTACACAGAAAAGACCTGTCATCTCAGCTTGAAATGTGTAGAACATCAAATTCCTGGAATATGTTGGTAAACATATTTTATAGAATCATGTTTTATGAGACATTATACACTTTAGTGAAAAGGTCTGGTTGGTTTGGTGCTACATAAAAATACTGAAGCTGAGTTTTAAATATTATTTGCTGAGAAGAATCATGAAGCAGTTTTTCATGTTATAATGGCTGGTGGCATTTTATGAATAGATGTGCACATTATCAATGAATTGATTGCTTCTTATAACATTACATTCTCTTTTGGTTTTCATACTTGTATTATGTGTGGATTGTTATTGTGTTAATTATAACTCTTTAGTTGTATTTTTTTTATTTGGGGAATGAAATACATCCTGATAATGTTGGATCTCTCTAGGAGATACAGCAGAACCCCTGTATCCACGGGATCAGTATATGTGGTTTCACTTATCCACTGTCTGAAAATATTAAAAGAAAAAATCCAGAAAAACTATTTTTACATATATTACCAGAACCGGCCACTAGACAGTGCCAGAGATTATGCTATGAATACTTGTTAGTGAAGAATATCTAGTGTGGTCTCTGGTGCCCTCCAGTGGCCAGTTCTGGTAATGCAAGTGAAAATAGTTTTATTTTTATTTTCTTCCTTTTACCATGCTATATATATACTGTTTGCCTTTATCTACAGTTTTCAGTATCTTTGGGGTTGGGGGGGTTGGAACCAATCCACAGTGGATATAGGGGTCCTACTGTATTGGGGTTGTATGGAGTAGATGGTAGGGTGTGGAGAAGTAGCAATGAGATAAGTTTTGACAAGAGGTTGCTTCTCTCTCTTTAGTCTACCCCGGACCTATGTGAGGATATGTGTTCCGTCTTCTTAAAATAGTGGCTTCAGTTGCCAGCAGGCTTCCCCATTTAGCTACACTTCCCTATTGTTCTGGAAGCAACCATACCATAGTAGTCAGTATTCTTACTGACCTGCAATATTTACATGAGACTGTTGCTGCCTAGTTATGGAATGTTTCATACAATTCTGTTACTGATTCAACCTCCCCTGCCCCTGTTAGACCTTCTTCATCGCAAATATCCTCCCAAAGTTGTGTTAGGGAATTTTGGTAATTAAACCAAAGCCAAAATGTTGATATCATTACATGCTCCCTGTTCCCTTCAGTGGTTACAATTTCAGGAGCAGAAAGCTTGTGATATCTTTGTGACATCTGTTTTATTCACAAATGTGCAAGCACAGAAAGAGAGAAGTGAATAGATTTCTAAAGCAGGCAGGACAATAGCTGACTTTACATCAGATTAGTAGAGAACAAGTGCTTCACATAATTCCATTTTAGACATTCACAGGTTTCTTTTCTAGTCATCTATTAAACCAATGGCTACTTCTAGTTCTCTTTTATTTTGTTCCTGCCCCAAAACTGATGGGTGTGTTATTCCAAAAACTGAAGATAGATTCTAAGCCATAGATTATTTTCTGATTTCTTAGACTATTCTAACTACAGTGGTGCCTCGACTTACGAATGTCCCTACTTATGATGATTTCGAGTTACGACCACCTCCGGCCGCAACATTTTGCTTCTACTTGCGACTGGAGCTTCCACTTTATTTATTTGTTTGTTTGTTTGTTTGTTCAATTTATATCCCGCCCATCTGGTATATTCTACCACTCTGGGCGGCTTACAGAATATCAAAACAATTAAAAAACATAAAAATATTAGCATACAACAATAACAAATAGTGCAGGAATAAATAAATAATAAATAGCAAAAGGCCCTTTCTCTACAAGCCCGCCCTCTTATCTTCCTTAAGGGATGGCTCTTTCAAAAGGGTCCCCTGGCTAGATCTTAACTGCCAGGTAGTTTCTTATGGAAGGAGGCAGTCCTTCAGGTATCCAGGGCCTAAACCGTTTAGGGCTTTATATGTCAAAACAAGCACTTTGAATTGGGCCCGGGTAGCAATTGGTAGCCAATGTAACTTAAAACAGAATCAGCTTGATATGTTCCCTAGCGGCCCCACCACTCACCAGCTGCGCAGCTCGATTCTGGACCAGTTGCAGT